CGCCGCAGCACCGTGCTCCTGGGCAGGTCGGCCAGCACCAGGTCCGGCGCTATCCGGGCGATGGGTACCGTCAGCCTGGGCTGGCCCGGGCTGGCCAGCAGGTCTCCTGGAGGACAGGGCAGGACGTTGGAGGCCCAGCTCTGTCCGCAGCGGACAACAGCCCTCGCTGCGAGCACCTGGGCAGGCCGGGTGGGGGCACGAGTGCCCCATGGCCCAGGGCCCCGCCCTCCATGGCCCATCCCCCCCCACTGTGCCCACGCCTGTGCTCCGACTGGCAGAAAAGGCGGGTGCCCACCTGCAGCCCTCGGCCTGCCCAGCCCGGCCGTCCCTGCAGCAGAGCCCGCAGGGAGGTCCCCACCGACCCCGGTGAGGCGCTCAGGAGCCCCCCGGCTCGCCGGCGGCAGGTGGAGGCAGACCCGCCTGCGCCCATCGGCCACCCCAACCCGGCGCCAGCGACGCACCGTGCTCCGCCTCCCTGGCCAGGTCGTCCAGCAGGACCCTCTGAGGCTCCTCGCCAGCGCGGAAGCTGACCAGCGCCCACTTCTTGAGCAGCATCTCCCCGTCCCCGCAGACGTCAGCCTCCAGCAGCCCCGGGAACCACTCCTCCAGCAGCGAGTCGACGTGGTCCACCGCCTGGCCCAGCAGGACGCGCCCTGTGGGCGATCAGCAGCCCGTGAAGTGGCCATGGCCCGGCCCGCCCCGCCTGGCCCCGACCTGCCCTGACCCCACCCCAACCCCGCCCCACACGCCCCTGACCCCGCCCCGGCCCCCCACCTTTCCTGCAGGAGGGCACTGTGATCCTCAGGCAACAGTCAGGGCGGCCGCGGGGGGCCTCGGCGGCCAGCAGGCAGTAGGCCTCCGAGGACCAGTGCAGGTAGATGCCCTGCCGCCAGTATACCCTGTTGGGGCGCCGGGCGCACTCTGCAGGGGAGAGACCGGTGGCTAGGACGCCAGGAGGCCAGGTCACCGTGGCCGCAGCCGGGCGGGCGGTCTGGCCCTCAGGGGCAGTGCCTGGCCGCCCCGCTCACGAGCCCCGACTCATGGCACCGCATCTGCTCCCGAGTCACAGTAATGAGACCAGGGCCGAGCGGGCCGCCTGACCGGACACTGGGCACAGTACAGTGTCAAAGGGCCGAGCACACATCGGGCGATGTCCCTGGCCGGGGTGGGCGCCCCTGGCCCAGGGGCCGCACCCCACAGGGAATGACCGGGCCATGGCCCTCCACCTGTCGTCCGCAGCGGCGAGGACCGAACAACCCTGGGCTGCAGGGTCTGCTCAACGCGCCCCGCCCGGCCCCAGGCCCGCGGGCCCGCACCCACCTCTGCCGGACAGCATGTGGGGCGAGGCCTCGAGCACGCGGGCGATCAGCCTCGGCCAGAAGCCCATGGGGAAGCAGGGCGCCTCGTACAGCCGCACCGTGAGCTCCGAGCCCTCGCAGTGAGGCAGCTCCACCACCGGCGTGGGGCTGGGCAGGCTGGGGGACACGGAGTCACCGGCGGGCCCGGGCCCAGCCGGGGTCGCTGGGGGCGGAGCGGGACCCGGGGTCTCCCCGCCCGTCCTGTCACACACGGCGTTGCGCGTTCAACAGAACACAGGAAAACACCCCGGGAGGAAGCCGGCGAGGGGCGCAGGCCAGCCCCTCGGCAGCGGAGGCGCGCCCCCGCGC